GCCGCCGCCCGGCCCCGCTCAGCACTCACTCGGGGCGGCCGGGAGCTCCGCGGTCTGCGCAGCGCCCAAGCTCCCCGCGGCCGCGTTCTCAGAGCCGCCTGGTTTTGGAGGGACGGCGGCGAAGGACTCCCTCCTCCTGGGCGGGAGCTGCGCGAGAGTGGCGGGGGGCCCAGCCAAGGAGTCCCGGGATCGGGGCTGGCGTAGAGCGGAGGGAAGGGGACCTGGCCGTCCCGGCTCGGGTGTCCGCATGCCTTTGAGAGAGAAGGGAAGGGGAGAGGTCGGGGCAAGTCCGGAGCAGCTCCAACCGGGCCGGGCCGCCGGGGGCCGGACCGCTGACCACCCCTTCCCCGCCATCCTGGCCCCTGATCCCGTAGCGAAAACAGTAGTTGGGGCTGTGTAAGAGATTCCGTCTTCAGATCTCTAATTCCACACCTCCCCAGCCCCAGCCGCCAGCCCCTCCCACAGTCTTTCTAAATCCCTTTCTACTCTCCCGCACCCCTCCCACCTCAGATCAGGTCTGAGAACATTCGTTCATTCCCGCCTAATGCAGTGGGGGAGGTGACCGGCATGTCACGGGTCTGGGATGAATCTAGACTCCCCCTTCCCCTGCTCTGTCAGGCCAGCGCTCTCACCTGTGTTTTGGGTGGATTTTGACCCAAAACGGTCTGCATTTTGATTGCAGGTAGAGTTGAGGTCCCCTCACTACCCCAAAGGAAGCCTCCAGTGTTCAGAGGCGGGACTCCTACCTGGAGAGGATGACTCAGGCTTTGAGGCTTGCTCTGATTTGTTTTTCTCTAACTGGTGCCCTAGAAAGTGAGGAGACAGCACTGATTTCAGTCTTGGTAATCAGAAGCTGCAAATTTAAAATAGATGCAAACACCTCGCCACTGTTAATAAGAACAGCCGGTAGTTCTCAGCGGGAACCACCCCCCCACCCCGGGAAGCGTGGGAGCCTTCTGGTCGGCCCAGTGACTACAGGTCAAGGCTCTACCGCCCTAGAACATTCGGCCTGGGATGTTAAGCTCTCAACGGAGCACCACAAGCACCCGGTCCAAACAGCAGTCTCTCTTCCGGAGTAATCCTGGTGGAAAGGAATCCCCTGGTCCTGCTCTCTGGCTTTGTAATACATGATGTCATTTGGGGCTTTGGAGAGATATAATTTTGTCTCTTTCGCAAATAGTCCTGACCTGGGAAACTACCGCTATTTCCTGGAGTGACAGGGGCATCAGTGCTGATAATAATGCCCACCGTGTGGGGTTTTGGAATATTGGTGTGAGGTGCTTGGCACACAGCGGGCCTGTAAGAAGTGGTACTTCAGTTGTTACCACCTCAGCCGGCAAAACCATCTCTGATAACCCGGCGCAGGGTCTCCACCCTCACATGCAGAGGACTTTGCCAGAAACCCGTTTTGTGCTCCAGCGGGCACTTGGTACTACAGAGATCACGCTGCCTCTACCTCCCCCAACCCACGTTTTCCTCCCTTTCTCTGAGGAGTGAAAAAATACATTTACAATGTTCTGTTCTTTTTGAATACTTTTATATTTATTTTCTTTTTTAGGTTTTTGCCATAGAGCATGTGCACTCACTAGAGAGACAGAGAGGAAATGTGAGAAGTCACCCCCGGGGCGGGGGTGGGGGGAGGCCATTCTGCAATTCCTTCTCCACTGTCCTCTTGGCATTTTGTGCACCGACCTGATTTTTAAGCCATTAAATCCGGGACTCGAACCATGATTGGCCATGTAGGAATCCAGCACCTTAACCACCACACCACCTACTGGCCCCACTTTCATAGACTTTTAAATATTAGAATTAGTCACTGTTTTGTGAGTTACCTAATTGTAAAATAAGAAAACATGCCCTTATGCCTGTTCTTAATTGGCTGAGGGATGGGTGTTCACCATAGTTCGCCTTCATGTAATGAGAAACCAGATCTTCCCCTGGGCTTCGCTTTCCCCAAGTGGCAGGAACAACCATCAGTCCCCACTTACAGTTTTGCTTCTGGGCTCTATTCATGCCTTTGAAGAATCTGTTTTGATCTTTCTTCCCATCAGCCTGTAGGTTGTCTGGGAATAGAAAATGGATAAGTTCAGAGAGGTCGAATGGGGAAATAAGGACCACAATGCAGGATCTTGGGCACACACACACACACACACGTGCCCAGCATGAGTTTAAGCCACCAGGTCCGGGACTCAAACTGTGGTCGACTACATGGGAGTCCAGCGACATAGCCATGACGTTAACTGCTGGTTCCGAAACACAATCTTGATGAACAGAAATCAACTCAAAATAGATCAAGATCTAAACCTAAGACTTCAAACTACAAAACTGCTGGTGGTGGGCCAGCATGACAGTTATGTCACTGGATTTCCACATGGCCAACTACGGTTTGAATCCAGACTGGTGGCTTGAAACCACAGTGGGCACATGTGTGTGCATGACCAAGTTCTCGGGAGGAGAATGGAGGAGAAGGGATTGCTGTGTGGCTGTCCCCCCTGGGGGAGGCGATTTCTTACTTTCCCTCTACTGTTTCTCTCCAGCAATCACATGTGCCCTAAGGTTAGAAACCTCTTAATAATAAAAAAAAAATGCTGGTGGAAAACAGAGGGGGAAACTCTTGGGGACACTGAAGTAATCAAAGACTTTTTTTTTTTTGAGAGAGAGTTTTGCTATAAAGCACATGTGCTCACTGGAGAGACAAAGACACAGAAAGCAAGAAATCACACACACACACACACACACACACACACACACACCCCCCGGGAGGATGGCCCCGCTGTTATCTCTTCTCCTACTCTCTCTCCTCCAATCTCCTCTTGAGATCTTGGGCAAACATGCATATGTGCCCAGCATGAGTTTTAAGTCGCCTGGTGCTGAACTCGAACCACAGTCAACTATGTGGGAGTCCAGCAATGTAACCATTATGCCATCTCTTGGGCCTACAAAAACTTCTTAAATAAGACCCTCACAGCACAGGTAATAATTCTGAAAACAGACAAGTGAGATTTCATCATATTAAAAACTATCTGCACAGCAAAAGAAACAATAATCAGCGTGAGGAGACAACATCACAATGGGAGAACATATTTGCAAACTATGCCACAAAAAAGGGACTGATAACCAGAACATACAGGGAACTCAAGCAGCTTTCCTGAAAAAAAAAAAAAATCCAATTAAAAGAGGGGCAAATGAGCTGAACAGACAACTCACCACGGAAGACATACGGGCAGCCAAAAAGCTTATGAAAACATGCTCAACCCCGTCATCTTGACGGAGATGCAGATCAAAACCACAGTGAGATAGCACCTGACTCCTGTCAGAGTGGCTAAGATTAAAAAAAGTAAAGAATGAGGGACCAGCAGTTAGCGTAGTAGCTATGTTGCTGAACTCCCATGTAGCCAACCATGGTTCGAGTCCTGGACCCGGTGGCTTAAACTCACGCCGGGCATATGTGCCCAAGATCCCAAGAAGAGAATAGAGGAGAAGGGATTGTGGCGTGGCCATCCCCCTGGGGGGTGATTTTTCACTTTCTATCTCTCTGTCTCGCTCTGTCTTTCTGGTGAGCGCACGCGCCCTATAGCAAAAACCTCTCAAAAAAAGAAAAAAAAAAAAAACAATGATAAGTGCTGGCAAGGCCGTGGTGAAAAGGGAACTCTCCTACACTTGGTGGGAATTAGTACAGCCACTCTGGAGAACAATATGGAGGTTCTTCAAAAACCTACAAATAGCACTACCATATGAGCCAGCAATCTTACTCCTGGGTATCTGCTCAAAGGATAGAATACACTTGGTCAGAAAAACGCTGGCGCATCCATGTTTATTGCAGCATTATTCACATTTGCTAAGACACGGAATTGACTCAAATGTCTAAGAACAGAGGAGTAGATCGAAAAAATGTGGCACATATAGACTATGGAATACTACTCAGTCATAAAAAAAACTACGAGATCCTAGCATTTGATAGAAAGTGGGCGAATACAGAAGATTTAATGCTAAGCGAAGCAAGCCAGACCATGAAAGAGGCATTGTATGTCCCCATATAATAAACACCAGCTGTCTAAAATGTGCAAGAGTGGAAGGTCAAAAAGAGGGCCAGGCAGAAAGAGATTCCTTTGCAAGGTTGGAGGGTGAGCCCAGAGCTTGGGTACAATGGCTGTGCCCAGTCCTGGATTCCCTGTAGGGTGAAGAACTGCAGGGTGGAGCCCCTAGCTGAGAGAGCTCTGAGGCCTGTGCCCCTGAGTACCCTACAGCTTCAGGAGAGCATGGAATGGCCTTGGGTGTGGGGGTGGGGGCAGTAGAGAGAGAAGGGAGAACAGCTTCCCTGAGAGCCACCAGCCCAGCATGGGAAACACACAGTGGGGACTTAGTGACCCTGTTATGAAGGGCCAGAGCAGGGGGAACAATGCCTGGGAGCACTTTGCCTACAAGGCCCTTGAGAAACTTCAGGGCCAGCCTGGGGCCTAATAAAGGCAGCTGGACCCCACATGGCTACCCATGGTTTGAATCTAGCCTGGTGGCTTGAAAAACACTTTAGGTGCATGTTTAGTTGAGCCCAAAATCCCAGTGGGATGAAGAAATGGAGGAGAAATTATTGTAGCATGACCATGTCCCATTGGGGTGTCCTTTCTCTTTCTCTTTATTTCTGTATCTTTGGTGAGTCCGTGTGCTCTCTGGGAAATTAAAACAAAGCCAAAACGGAGCCAGGAGGTAGCATGATGGTTAAGGGCACTGGACTCCCACATGACCAACCACGGTTCGAGTTCCGGACCTGGCAGCTTGCTTTCTCACAACCCTCCCCCACCCTGTGTCCCTCTCTGGTCAAATTTAAATAAATAAATAAATAAATAAATGAAATGAAATAAAATAAGTCTTAAAAACCAAAACAAAATCTTCAAGGTCCAAACGACCTCATAACTATCTCTGGGCTTCCAGACCCAGCCACCCCCACAACAGGGAGCAATGATCCTCAGCACAGGGAACTGTGGAGACTGGACTAATGACATCAGTCAACTCCCCACCACCCTGTCCCTTTCCTGGCTTTAACAGGGACCAGGTGGGGACTCTGTGTGTATGTAAAAGGGCGGACAGAACAGTGCATGCCTGTCACCTCCTCTTCCAAATCTAGTCTTTGCTGAGGTGGAAGAGTAGGGAGTCCCTCAGTTAAAATTCTGAATTGGAACCAAACTATGTTAACCTTGAATGACTGTAAAGTGCAGGATCTGCTGAGATTATACCCAGTGGGATGAGAGAGGTGGACAAAGCAGAACAAAGAAGAGCTCAAAATTAAGAACAAAACCCAAATCTGGCTCCCTGAGGATACCACTGGAGTGGAGATTCCTGGCTGACTAGAAGGGGGTCCTGGGCACTGCCCTAGTCCTCCTTTCTAGAGGTGCATGGGAGGTGTCTATCTGTGGAGCTCTTGTGATATTTTGAGGAAGAAGCCTCCAACCGTCTTTTAGAGGTTTTTGCCATAGGGCACGTGCACTCGCCAGAAAGACAGAGAGAGACAGAGAGACAGAAAGCGAGAAATCACTCCCCAGGGGAGATGGCCATACCACAGTCCCTTCTCCATTCTCCTCTTGGGGTCTTGGGCAGGCACACACATGTGCCTGGCACGAGTTTTAACTGCTGGGTCCGGGACTTGAACCACAGTTGACTATGTGGGAGTTCAGCAACATAACCATTACGCCATCTGCTGGTTCCTCCAACCATCTGTCTTTACTCCTGGCTTAGAGAAGCACAGCCTTTTCAGGAAATATTTGTCCTTTCCAGCACATATTTTATCAGCACTCCTGATAAAATATTAACCCTTATCTCTCTTTTTTCCTCTTTTGTTGTCAAAGGGCATGTATAATTTGCCAGAGACAGAGACAGAAAGAGAGGAAGAAAGCGCCCACTACGGAGCGTGGCCACACGGCAGTCCCTTCTCCTCCGCCTCTCCATCCTGTTAGGGTTTGGGGATGCATATACATGTCTCCAGCGTGTTGCTCAAGCTTCTGGGACTGGGATTTGAAGCTTTGGCCATGTGGAATCCAGCTTCGTTAACTACCAGGTTCTAGGTCACTCTCAACCCTTCTTCCTAGTTGCAAACTCAGACAAGTTTTTGAAAACTATCTGACAAGATATACTGGTGTTCTGGCTGATTTCGGTTTCCCTGCAAGGACAGATAGATTTCCCCAGAATGTTACTGACTTTGGATCTGTCTTCTCTTCTGTGATCAGGAAGAGATGCCAGTGTGCACTAGGGAAGTAGAAGCCGGAGATCACTCAGTCTATCCTGGGAAGACAGGATCCTGCTTCCTCCCTGTCCCTCCAGCCAACTCAGCACCAGCTTCCTGACCTGCTAGGCAAGGGGTCCCATGGGGTGCAGTCCTCCTAAGGCTCTTACAGGAGTCAGGGAGGCAGTCACATACACTGAAGATAGAGTATAAGAAATGGCTGGGGGACCAGCAGGTGGCACAGTGGTTAAAGCGCTGGACACTCCCACGTGGCCGACCAGAATCGAGTCCCGGACCTGGTGGCTTGCTTTTTCACTTTCCCTCTTTCTCTCTCTCTGTATGTGTGTGTGTGTGGTCAAATTAAAAAAAAAAAGAATGAATAAATAAAATTAAATAAGTAATTTTTTTGAGAGGTTTTTGCTATAGCGCGTGTGCGCTCACCAGACAGAGAGACAGAGAGATGGAAAGTGAGAAATTACCCCCCGGGGGGATGGCCACGCCACAATCCCTTCTCCTCCATTCTCCTCTCGGGATCTTGGGCACGCACACACACGTGCCCAGTGTGAGTTTAAGCCACCAGGTCCAGGACACGAACCGTGGTTGACCACGTGGGAGTCCAGTGACATAGCCATTATGCTAACTGCTGGTCCCAACTAAAAAAAAAAATGGCTGAAGGAAGCATAGAGATGCTTGGAAGTGCCCAGTCAAGAACCAAACTTTGAAGGACCCAGTGATTATTACTGGTGTATGACTACAGTTCCATTTTCAGGGGTGATGGAGGAAGAGAGGCTCCTAGGAGAAGGTGAGCAGAGAAGATGATAGCCTTTTCCTTACCTTTAAATCTCCGCAGGCTGTCTTGAAGGGAGTCATGTCTTGATTTTGCTTCACTGAGTTTTTTATCCAGGTCCGGAGGAACAGGGATCGGGTTGAGATTTGCTAACTGTGGGTCCCAACAAAAAAAAAAATGGCTGAAGGAAGCATAGAGATGCTTGGAAGTGCCCAGTCAAGAGCCAGCATTTGAAGGACCCAGTGATTATTACTGGTGTATGACTACAGTTCCATTTTCAGGGGTGATGGAGGAAGAGAGGCTCCTAGGAGAAGGTGAGCAGAGAAGATGATAGCCTTTTCCTTACCTTTAAATCTCCGCAGGCTGTCTTGAAGGGAGTCATGTCTTGATTTTGCTTCACTGAGTTTTTTATCCAGGTCCGGAGGAACAGGGATCGGGTTGAGAAATTGAAACCCTCTACTCCTAGGAAGACATGGCTGAGCTGGGTGGTGAGATCAGGACTTGGGTGTGCGAGAGGGAGGGCCTGTGATGTGAGGATGAGGGTTGAGGGAATGAGGACCCAGGAGTGCGGTGGAGGTCAGGGAGTGGCGAGCGGGGGGTCAGGAGGCCAGGCTAGGGACATGAGTCCGGAGTGGGGAGGGGCAAAGAGGGATACGGAAATGAAGGTGGGTGGTGGAGACGGGAGAGAGGGAAAAGGGGCAGAGAGGGAGGAGGGGACCCAGCAGCCATTCAGTGGGCATGCAGGAGGTGCCAGGAAGTAGGAGAATCTGTGCTGAAGAGCCAGGAAGCTGGAGGAACCGGCTCATCTCTCAGACAACCAACCCACTTGCTGAAACGCTCAGTTTAGCCTTTCTCCACCTGCCGCGTAAATATCTGGCTACGGAGTTGGCGTGTGAATTCGTGAGGGAGGCACATTGAGTGTCTAGATACATGTTATATGAATGCATCAGTAGACAAAATGGGTTTGGGATGGCCCATCATACCTGTTCAGGACGAATCTGATGTCCTAGGAGAAACACGGAAAGCACAGCCTTAGCACTTGGCTGAATCAGGGAGCCACGCAGGAGGCGCAGCCCTGCTCCATGTGGGCAGAGCAGGTGCGTGAGGACACCTCCTGGGGTCAGGGTCAGGAGGGGCCACTCAGACAGACAGGTCAGCCTGGAACTGGCCCTGCTCTTCCCCGGGGAGAGCGCTGGGTGCTGCTGAGTCTCCACTCCAGGCCCAATCGCAGGTATCCCAGCAGGTGCCGGGGTCTCCGGCCTGAGACTGTCTGCAGTCCTGCCCTCAAGGGTCTCTTACCCTCAACAGCTGTTTGGGTGGCATTTGCTGCTTGGCCTGCAGGAGGTTAGTGAGCTGCGAGAGAGACTTCAGCTGTGTCTCAAGGAAAGTGACATACAGTCTCCTCCCCTCGGTCCCCTGCTGACCCAGCCAGTCGATCCTGGATAGGAGGAATTTCTTCTCCTCGTTGAGGACCCGTTCCAGGTTACTGAATTCTGTGAGGATCCTTTGCCTCTCAGATGCCACCTGGGTCTGCAGGTGGGGAAAGAGGACATGCAGAAGATGAGAGTGGCCTCGAAGTCCTTCTAGACCACTATGTGCTCAGCTTCAGGCGAAACTGTTCATTTATATCTTATCATTTTTTGTCCTCAAGAAGCTGAGTGTCTAATACTACATCCCTAGAAGGCTTTCCAGTTTATAATCTGCCTTCACACGGATTTTCCCTTTGGCCCACAAACAGCAGGATGATTCGTTGGGTGGGTTACATTATCTTCATTGGTACCTGGGGAGTCAGTCTCTAATATAGTTATGACCTGTGAGGGGCAGAGCTGAGTCTTAAAGTTGAAGTTCCCAATTATTTTCTTTTTTTAGATTTTTGCCATAGAGTGTGTACAACTCATCAGAGAGGTGGGTGGTGAAGGGGGAGTAAGAAATCACCCCTGAGAGGAGATGGCCATCCTGTAATCGCTTCTCCTCTATTCTCCCCTCAGAACTCTGGACACATGCAACCCACCTGTTTTCCAGGCCTCTGGGTCCAGGACTGGAACCCCAGAGTGGGACACATAGGATTGGGGCCTTAACCACCATGCCACCTGCTGGCTGGGATATGTCGCGTCCTAAGACCAGCGACAGCTTCTCCTTCACCTCCTGTCGGCAGGGTGGAGCAAACTGAAGCAGCCAAGCGGCTCTGCTCACACAAGCCCCACGCCCAAAGGCTCAGGGTTACTGAGCAGAGACTGTGGGATGCCACCCAGCGTGACCTCGCCAGGTCTCGGTCCCTCCCAGTCTGCCCCTCTACACTCAGCTCCGCTCGGCCTCAGCGTGTCCGGGTGTTCTTCTGAGGGTTGGTGTAAGGGGTTCACTATAGGAGCTTTGGCAGAGAAGACGCTTCGGCTTTCTGGGATGGGGAGGGGGCTTTTTCTTACCCTGAAGAAATGGATCTTCTGTTCACCCTGTTCCTTTATTTGTTCTATCATCTTCTCTTTTTGCCGCAGGACCGCGACCTGTGCCTGAATCTGCTCCTGCAGGGAGAAGGTCTTTGATCAGGCTCTGTCCGGAGTTCTCTCGGCCTCCCAAAACCCTCCTAGGCTCTCAGAGGGCATGGGAGACTCGAGGGAGTGCTGGTGTCATTGTTCACAGAGCCCCCTGTCCTTCTCACACTGGGCAGGTGAAGGGGAGGGAGAAGTTTGGACCTAAGTGACCAAAGAGGAGAGTGTTGTTATTTCAACTAATTATGGCTAGTATTTGGGTGATGCCTCGGAGTATCGAGAACTCCCCCAAACTCTCTGCCATCTGCTCTAACAAGAATGATAAGAGATACACGGTCTCTGCCCATGAGAAGGATGAGGCATCGGAGGCTCAGGGAGATACATGATTCATTGGGGTTTCTACTGTAAACTTGGGAATCTGGACTGGAGCCCAAACCTCCCAACCCCAAATTCTTATTCTTTCTGTTCTCCATTATGCCTGAGACACGATTCAGGCCTTGTATTTATTTATTTTTTGTAAGAGAGATTTTTGCTATAGGATTTGTGTACTCGCTGGAGAGACAGAGACAGAAAGACAGAAAGTAAGAAATCACCCCCTGGGGGGATGGGCACACCACAATCCCTTCTCCTCCATTCTCTATGCATTTTGGCACACATGCACATGTGCATGCTGTGAATTTTAAGCCAACAGGTCTGGGACTCGAACCACGGTTGACGACGTGGGAGTCCAGCGATGTAACCATTCCACCACCTGCTGGTCCCTAGACTCAGGCCTTTGAACCCACTGTCCCCAACTAAGAATTGCTGCTCAAGGGCACTCAAGGACAATGTGTATGAGTGATGGGGTGCATCTCCCACAGTAGGGAGATCACGGTTTCCCAGTCTCCACTGAACTGGTCTGATGGGGATGCAGGGAAGGGCCCCACATGCCTACCTTGTAATTCTGGGCAGCTTCTTCTATCAAGATGGAATTATGGAGCTTGTGTTCCTTGGTCTTACAGCACACCATGCAGAGGAACTCCCCGTCGTTCTCACAGAAGTAATGGAACTTCTCCTCGTGCGTTGGACATTTCAGGTCTTCCCTTTGTGGCTGCATTCCAGAAAAATCCATACTTCCGATTTTCTCTATCAGATTCATCAGGAGCCAGTTGGGGCTGTATGTGTTCTTCACGGGCATGTTGCAGAGAGGGCATTTGTGAGAGCCATCTGACATTTCCGCACTCTGGGTGATGCATGTGAGGCAGAAATTGTGCCCGCAGTCGACGGTGACAGGGCCCTTTAGAATGTCCATGCAGATGGGGCAGGTCAATTCCTCTTGCAGTTTGTTGGCAAACTGCTGACTGGCCATGACGGAGCAGCAGGGCGCTTCAAGTCGGTAGAAAGTCTAGAAGTCTGCTGTGGACACCAGTTCAAGGAGGTTGATGGCAAAGACTACTGTTAGAGGAGCAGGGAAGGAGGAGAAGGGGTGGAAGGAGTAAATGAATAGTCGAAAAAAGTAAAAATTAGAATAAAGAGAATATTGTAAAGAGAGGACAATGGATGGGCAGTCTTACCTCACTACCTCTTGAGAACAAGTAGATTTGTGAATGTATCTGGGCTACTTATAAAATGGGCTAAGCTGCCCTGAACCTTGGACCAATAAAAGGTATCAGCTGCTCTGTTTATAGAGACCAGAGGGTGAGGGACCGAAGTCCACTCACAGAAGACTTCCCATCAGTTCCAGGTAGGGCGTGGAGGAGCCGGCCACACCTCCACAAGAGTACCACTAGTTCACCAGCTCTGCGTTGGGCAATGCCTCAGAGCCCGAGGCTTGGGAAGGCCCCTAGAAAGGAAGGAAGGGGTACTCCTGTACCCTAGGTACGCTGACTTCTCACTTTGAAGAATTTTGTGAAAACGTTGAAGATTCAATCACCCACCTCAGGGAATTTCCACTCCCGGGCTGAACCAGTCATCCCTCTCATGGGACCCTCTAGTCCAACGGGAGAACAAGGAGCTTCCTTTCTGGAAGGCCGGTCTTTGTGCACGGTGTACTTGACCTTGGTGAGCCTCTCACTTCCCCACTGCACCCAAAGCAGCCTGTCCCTTCTTTCTTTCCTTTTCTTTGTTTTTTCCCCATATGTCTCTGTTCCTTTGGCTTCTCCATGTCCATTCTTTGCTTTGCCTGTCCTCTGTTCAGTCTGTTTCTTCCTCCTTCTTGGTGCTTCTCTGACCCCTGACTTGCTTTCCTTGATGGCTTTTGTCCTGACAAGGAAAATATCAGCCAGTGGTGCCAACCCTTCCTCCCTCTGTAGTGCAGCACATCTGTATCTTAACTTTCCTCCTTCCCTCTTGTCTCAGGGAAGAGTCCTTCCTCCCTACATTCATCTGGGTCCCAATTTCCACCCGCACATCCCCTTTCTCCAGCATCCTAGGATGCACACCATTCAATTTTTTTTAGAATTATTTATTTATTTAATTCCATTTGGTATCATCATTATTATTATTATTATTATTATTTTAATTTGACCATACAGAGAGAGAGAAAAAGGGAAAGTGAGAGAGTAAGCCGCAGATCCGGGTCTTGAACTGTAGTTGGCCATGTGGGAATCCAGTGTTCTTAGCCATCACGCCACCTGCCAGCCCCAACTCACCATTCATTTTTTAAAATTTTAAAATTATTTATTTATTTTGTTCTGTTTGTTATTATTATTTTTTAATTTGACCAGACAGAGAGAGAGAGAGAA